TTGTATTTAAATTATACGCGAGGCTTGCGTTTCGAAGAAAGTCCAGATTATATGTATCTTCGTCAACTTTTCCGCATACTGTTTCGCACGTTAAATCACCAATACGATTACACGTTTGACTGGACAATGCTGAAACAAAAAACTAGTTTCAGTATTGCAACAACTTCAAGTGGTGCAACTACTCTTCAAGTAGTTGCTCAGGCGCAAGCACAAGCCCAAGGTCAGCTATCCGCTCAGGCCAACGCTCAAACAGGTATTTCTTTTATTACTGTTTCTCAAATCATATTATATAGCTTTTATTTTTAATGTATCAACATATAGAACTTAGATAACTTAGATTTTTTTTTTATATGTAGTTGCACACTGATAGTTTGGGATTTGAAGGGAATGAAAAATAGCATTAGATTTAACATTTGTTTTCGTTAGTACTAGTACTAATATCATTTAGCCTATTTTCCATTTATATAACGTGCAATTTATTGTTTGTTTCAGAAAAGATAAAACTATAATTACTTGTCGTTGCATCAATCCTATTTGCAGTCACTGAAGTGTCCAAGATCAGGTACCCAACTTTGTACGAATGCCATGCAAAGAGTCAAATCAATCAATCCTCTAAGTTTACAAAAAGGAGGAGATTTACGATTACAAGCGTATCGTACACAACTAAAGGACAATGCCATTGGGTACATGTTTGTGAATTCACTGATTAATGAAAACTTCAGTGTATTCTCAGTGCTTAGAGTTTTGGTTGATCCACCTCTTTGGGCTTAAAATCCAAGTGAGATCAGCCAGAGGTGGCTTGTTCTTATTTTGTTATTACCTATTTAATTCACCATTGATAATAATTGAAATAAAGGTTTTGATGCCCCGAAGACCTTTGTAAGAGAATACACGTAACGGTGTAATGTGTGATTTAATCGAAAATCCGACATATAACTTTCATAGAAAAAAAGAGAGAACGTTTTGACTATTCTTAAACATTCGGGGTAGTTAATTGAGTACATCGTATAAAATTTTATATCTATTCTACAGATAGAAGAAGAAATGTGAGAACGAGTGAATGATAATGTGAAAGTATGAAGAAAATATATAAGTAAGTATACTGAGAGATAAATACAGTTTGTTGCTTCCTGATTTTTGTTTTATTCTCAGTACAATACAGTATAAATATAATGTGTGCAACTTTAAGAGAAATGATAATATTTTTCTTACATAAACTACCATGTCAACAGCATCAAAGATTTTCCTTTGATGTTATTGACCCTGATAACATATTTTTTTTTTTTATATATAAGTATATATACATAACGTACACATAAACACATACATGCGTACGTACGAGTAAGTGGCAATATCTCCGAAGTAAGTACTGGAAATAATATTACTATTAAGGCAGCAATTTAATTTTTAGATACGTTGTATCGATCAAGAAACGAACAAATTACTAGTGATTCTGTCCTAACAACAAAACTTCACTCTTTACTCTCTTTCTTTCTGTGGGTGGTATATTTAGTCGATTATGATAAAGAAAATCAACATTAAACAGACTCTTTTTTGTATTGGAAACGGATTACAGGCTTGCTTTTTATTCGACTAAGTAATAAAAATATAAAAAGTATACAAAAAAATATAGAAAAACAATGCATAAAATACAATTCTGTAACCGGATCCAGCCAAAGGACTTCTTCCGTATAGTTTTAATGGCAGAGACTATGCAGTGGTATTTCCCGTGCTATTGCTTCGATATTAAGTTTACAATACGTGACTTAGAGATCTTTAATCGATCGGTCAGTCGGTTATTGATATATGTATAATGAATTCTCTTACACAAAGTCACGTTACACACAGCGTTTAGGAAGGAGTTTTAGAAGACTCGTTTCTGTCATTAAAAAAATTTTCGTTCACACACTGACCATACTAGTTGCGCCAATATTCACGTCCATGTTCCAAGCACTACTTCCAAAATTATGTATAATCAATCATTGTTAATTCATCATGTCCTTATTATGCAAAACATTCTAAATGAAAACGAACGTCCGGTCAGCCTTAATACGATCCAAGATATAAGGATAACACGACTGGATTTTGTGTACTATTATATCTCGAAAGGACAGTTTGTTTGATGAAGTTTTTGGACAGTGATTAAGAAAAGAGATATAACCTTTAAATATCCTTGAGTGAATCTAT